TGTTTTCTTCCGTCCACTTTCTTGACGTCGGGCTACGCTACTAGTACCACGGTAACGAGCGATGGTACGAGACACAAAAGATTTATTCACATTTAAAAGCTGGAGTGCTCTAACGATAGCCACTTGTGGTTTTCCAGCCAAATATAAAGAAATCACACTATCACGCTTGAATTCCATCACGAATAACTTTTTTTTTGGAAAATTCTCACTAAAATGCTTTTGTAGATTATGAGCTGCCACTGGAATAATTTTGATGAAAATGGGCCATGTAGGTCCACGTCCTCGTATAGCCCCATATTATATATTTTGATGATTTTAGCGACTTTATTTACCGGAATTGTTTAAATTTTGGTATTTGAAGTTCGTAATGGATACTACATCCTACGACAGAAAATGAGTCATATAGGTCCACGTCTTCGTATAGCCCCCATATAACGGTACCTCTCTCGATATTCGGTATTTTGACGATTTTAGCGACATTATTCTCCGGAATTGTTTCAAATTTGGTATTTGAAGTTCGTAATGAATACTACAGCCTATGACAGAAAATTGTCTGTGTAGGTCCACGTTTTATAACCCCCATGATACCTGCCTATATTCGTTTTTTTTTTTTTGATGATTTTAGCTACATTATAAAAAGGTTTTTTTTCAAGATTCGCATTTGCATATTGTAATAGCTTGTGACAAAAGTTGCCTATGCAGGTCCACGTCGTCATATAGATCCTAATATACGGCTACATTCGGTATTTGTAAGATTTTAACAGAATTTTTAACGGATTTTATTTTTTTTTTTTTTTTTGAAAATTGTTAAATTTGTACCAAATGGTGGAGGGTATTCAAAGTTTTTTGAAAATTCGATTTTCATTCTTCACGGCATACCTGTTGATAGTCACGTATGTTAAATAGCCTTCCACTTATGGACATTTCGAAATTTCACAAAAATGCAAATAACGTCAAACAATAGACGTAAGAAAAACCCCAAAACAAGACAACGACAAAGAATACATCAAACCAAGAATAGCAAACGAACATCGATCGCATCAATGAGAAATCACATCTTCTGATTCACAGCCATGTGCGAAGAACCGTTTTCAGAAATAGACGCCAGAGAAACAGAAACACAAACAACAAAAAAAGTAGAAAACAAAACGCAAAGAAATGCATACAACAACAGAAAAACAGCTGATGACCAAGTGAGGCTCTTGAACAAAAAAAGAAAAGAAAAATTAAATATTGGTATAAACAAAACATATTCTGGTGTTCAGTACCCCCCCCCCCCAACTAGTGTTGCTAATGTTTACAGCAAAAAAAAAGCAACAATCGAACAACCTAACCAACAGTCATAAGTCACAACGCTCCAACATACCACTTGCGAGCGTAGTAACCAAAGTAACGTGCCTCGACTCTGAGCGGTATCATGTGTGTGCGCCTCAACACGAGCAAAAACATTTATAGGTGTTTTGCTAACCACTGAGCGATTATAATTGCACAGTGGGATTTTTCGGCATTAAAAGCCAAGATTTTACTGAGCATATTTTCATAGGAAAGGATTTTTAAGGGATATTTTAAAAGGACATAAAACAGTGAAAAAAAGGGAATGTTCTGAAGCAGGCCTAACGCAGTTAAAGATGGAGTATTTCTTAATATTATGAAAAAATGGGTGATACGGGGGTCCATTTTCGTATAGCAACGTTATTATAACCTCCACCATAGTCTGTCCGTCTTTGGAAATCACTCTAGCTTCCGAACGCAATGAAGTAGGTTCATAAAATTTTACTCATATGTATAATATGCCTGCCGGACTTTAGGTACTGAAAATGGGCCATGTAGGTCTACGTTTTGGTATAGCCCGCATATAACGGTACCTCGCAATATTCGGTATTTTGATGATTTTAGCGACACTATTTACCGGAATTGTTTCAAATTTGGTATTTGAAGTTCGCAATAGATACTACAGCCTGTGCCAGAAAATTGTCTATGCAGGTCCCCGTCTTCGTATAGCCCCCATATAACGGTATCTCCCGATATTCGGTATTTTGATGATTTTAGCGGCATTATTAACCGGAATTGTTTCAAATTTAGTATTAGAAGTTCGCAATGGATATTACAGCCTATGACAGAAAATTGTCTTTGCAGGTCCACGTCTTCGAATAGCCCCCATATATACCCATATATACCCCATATATACCTCCCAATATTCGGTATTCTAATGATTTTAGCGATATTATTTGCTGGAAATGTTTCAAATTTTGTATTTAAGATTCGTAATGGACACTACAGCCTAAGTCAGAAAATTGTCTGTGCAGGTCCAGGTCTTCATATAGCCCTCATATAAGGGTACCTCTCGATATTCGGTATTTTGATGATTTTAGCTACATTATTCACTGGAATTGTTTCAAATTTGGTATTTGAAGTTAGTAATGGATACTACAGCCTATGCAGGTCCACGTTGTCGTGTGGACCCATACATAATCGCTACATTCGGTATTTTTAAAATTTTAACATAATTTTTATGTTTTGTTTTTTTTTTTTAAATTGCCAAATTCGTCCCAAATGGTGGGTGGTATTAAAGGTAAGGCCCGGCCGAACTTACAACTTTTTTACTTTTTAGCTCTACTTTCAGTATGTAGCCCATTTTCTTGTTATTATACCCTCAGCCATATGGCTACAGAGGGTATATATCATTTGATACGGTCAAAACGTGCCTAGTCGAAATAACGGTTTTAGACCCTAGGTCTCTTTGGACCAAATCCGTTTCAGAACATTTGGAATCGATCTACAGGTGTCCGTCCGTCCGTCCGTCTGTCTGTCTGGCAGGCTGGTGCGCACGATAACTCTCGAAGGGAGTATCCGATTTGATCCAAACTTGGTGCATCGTAATATTTTTGTCAAACTTAGATCGAGTTCGGAGATGGGCAATATCGGTCCACTCCTTCTGGTACGTCCCACACAAAATGTCAAAATTTTCAAAGGATATAATTTGTTGCACGGAAAGAGAAAGGATAATCTGAAGTTGTTCCAACTTTGCATATTCTAATATTTGCATCCGTGCTAGGTTAAGTGTGAAAATGGACAATATCGGTCCACTCCATCAAGTACCTCCCCCAAAAATGGTCAACATTTTGAATAATTACAACTCTCATAAAATGTGAGTCCGATTGTCTTTAAATTTCACACATCCCAATATTTATATTAACCCAATCTCCGGTGTTAAGATAGAATATATCGGTCCACTCCCTCTGGTACCTCCCCACAAAAGGTCGAAATTTTCAAAAAAAAAAAAAAATTTTTGCACAGAAAGAGAAAGGATAATCTGATTTTGTTCCAACTTTGCATATCCTAATATTTGCGTCCTTGCTAGGTTAGGTGTGAAAATGGACAATATCGGTCTACTCCATCAAATACCTCCCCCACAAAGGGTCAAAACTTTAAATAATCACAACTCTCATAAAATTTTACGTAAGAGCCCGATTGTCTTCAAATTTCACACATCCCAATATTTATATTAACCCACGTTCTGGTGTTAAGATGGACAATATCGGTCCACTATTTCTGGTAACTCCCCCATATAAGGTCAAAATTTTCAAAAAAAAAAAATGTTTTTTTCTGCGCAGAAAGAGAAGCGGTAATCCGGGTTTGCTCCAACTTGGCAAATCCTAATATTTTCATCGGTTCTAGGTCTGGTACAAAAATGAATATTATTTATCCACTCCATCAAGTACCTCCCCCACAAAGGGTAAACATTTTGAATAATTATAATGTGATGTTAGAATTCGACTGTCTTAAAATTTCACACATTCCAATATTTTCCTAAATCCAAGATCTGGTGTTAAGACCCCACAAGGGGTCAAAGTTTTGAATAACCAAAACATTTAAAAAGCCCGAAATCAGGCTGTCTTTATATTTCAAACATCCCATTATTTCCACTAACAAAAGATCCGTTGTGAAGATGGGATATATCGGTCCACTCATTCTGGTACCTCCCCCCACAAAGGCTCAACATTTTGAAAATCCATGAAGCTCATAAAAAGCGAAATTGACATCCGATTCTATTCATGACTTGGTACATTCCAAAATTTCCATTAACACAACACAGTCCAAACCTAGCACGTCGCAATATTTATATTATATTTATTTAGGTCCGTCAAGAAATGGCTAATATTGGCCAATTACTTCGGAACCAACTGCATAAAGGTTTAAACATTTTATCAATCAAACAAGAAGTCAAAAGATTTTAAAATAATCGAACATTGGCTGAGGGTATAAATCTGTCGGCAAAACCGACCGAAGCTTTTTAACTTGTTTTTTGTGTTGCATAGTGTTATGTGTCTACACTCTTTAGATTCCAACCTCATGATACCAACAATTTAAACAGGTATGTCTAAGCGAAAATCCTCTCCTTGATCCATGAAATTCCCATTCACATTGAATCAAAAGAATATCACAGGACCAACAAAAAATCCCTGAAGATCTCCCTTAAGCCAGTTGTAAGTCTGATCGAACCCATTGTGCAGAATTCCATTCGCATAGCTGAGATTGATTGAGAAAATGAGTGTGGGTCTTTCCCAGAGGTGGTTTGGTGTATTGTTTTACAAAATAAACAAGTTGTAGTGTGAGAGGGCAAGAGAGAGGGAGAGAGATAGAGAGGTAGTAAACGTTTTTGCATAGAAGAGCGGTAAACAAAAATAACTACAACCACAATAAAAATATAAACATAATTTTTGGATAGCAAAAAAAAAAAAAAAAAAAAACACAACAAACGCCCAAACATTTTGTGAGCATTGTTTGGTAGGTAAGAGTGGTAACCTGGTCTTAAAATAAAAATGAGCAACAAACAAAAAAAGAGTGAATGGCTGAGCACCAGCAGCAGCTGGAGACAGGTTGTTTGGCTGAATGACTGGCTGGCTGGTGTCTTGGAAGCGTAAAAACCAGCCAGCCAGCCTGCCAGCCACCTTCATCTGAGCCAATGTTGTGAGCTGACGGTTTAGTCATTACGAAAACCTAAACGAAGAAGGTCGGGTGTTGCGCCTACATTGAAATGGAAAATTTACTGAAATAAAAAAAAAAAAACTAAAAAGAAAAACGAGAAAATATCGAAAACCTACTGCGACTGCGCAAAAGCCTTTAACGAAAAAGAAGAATATAAAAAACGGAAATTGTGTTGAGAAAAAAAAATTGGAAAAATTTTGAAAACTAATTTTTTCTCAAGTGATTCATAGTCATATTTCGGTTCGTATTTCGGTTTCTAAGAATCGCTCGCGACCATGAAACGTTTGAAAAGTATTGCCCGCATTGCCTTCGACCTGGTGATCTTTGTCGGCGTCTGCCTGTGCGAACTGGGATTACGCAAATGGCTAAAACCCCACAAACGAGGCTTCTTCTGCAACGATGAGTCACTGCAGTATCCCTATCGTGAAAGCACCATAACGGTGCCCATGATGGTGGGCATTGTCTTGGCCGTGCCCTGCTCCGTGATTATGGTAATAGAATTATTTAAGCAACTTTCTCCGCTGCCGGCAGCGAGCAGCTGTGAAAAACGCAAATCACCACAATCGAATGCCAGCAAGCAGAGCGGTTGTCGTGTGGCCGAACGTTTGATGCACTGCTATGCCCAGATAGGTTATTACCTTTTCGGGTTGGCTTTGACACTGGTGGCCACCCATATAACCAAGAAGACAGTGGGTCGTTTGAGACCCCACTTTTTTGCCGTCTGCCAGCCACAAATGCCGGATGGTTCGACCTGCAAGGATTCATTTAATTATGGCCGTTACATTGAGGACTATCAATGTTTGGGCCAAAATCACACCGAGTCCACGCTGGGCCAGGTGGGCCAATCATTTCCCAGTGCCCATTCGAGTGTTTTCTTCTATTCCATGTTGTATTTGGCCTTTTATCTGCAGGCTGCACTCAGTACCAGAGCCTCGAAACTCATGAAACACCTGCTGCAATTCACCTTCATCATGTTTGCCTGGTATGTGGCCTTGTCGCGTATCTCCGACTATTGGCATCATTGGTCTGATGTTTTGGGTGGCCTGATCTTGGGCTGTGTCATTGCCTATATTATAAGTCACTATGTGGCCCACATATTTGTCAGAAGACCCATGCGTTTGAATTCGAATGTGGCGCCCAAGCCGCCAGCCAAACCTTCGGCGTCACCGGCCAATTCCTCGGGTAAGACCAATTCCTCACCGCCCGTCTTGCCAGCCTATACATTTGGTACACTGCCTTACTTGCCACATCCCCATGCCACAGCAGCAGCGGTGGCTGCCGCCGCGGCCCAACAGCAAGCCCAATATGCTCAAACCTATCACAATTATGGTTATGTGCCATAAAGGAGTGAAAGTAGTCAATCGTCTCAACGTCATCAGCATCAACGTCGTATCCATCCCCAAGAGGAATAATTAGCATCATCATCCTCATCATCATCAACCAGCCAAGCAGCCAGGCCGACTCAAGCTGCATGTCCCGACTGCATGCCTCAACGACAACAAAGCTGCAGTTTCGCCAAAATCTGGATTTTCATTTTTGGTTGAAAAATGAAAACACCCAACCAACCAACCAACTCTCATGCCGAACGCAAAGGAAAATCATTGGCGAACCAATGAAATTGCGTGTAAAAACAACAACAAATTGTTTTTCTTCATTTTCGTTAATGATATTTTGTCTAGTTGTAAGCGTTTATTTAGCTATTTTTTTTTTGTTTCTTCTCTAATTTTGAATTTCAATTTGGCCTGTAAATTCTTGTCTTAACCATATTTGGTTAGCCACCAGCCGCTGTCCAAAAGAAAAACGAAGCAGACAAGAAAAGCTTGCGAATGCAGAAGTGAGTTGATCACGTTGCATGGAATGTGTTGCAATGGGGTTGTGTGTTCGATGCCAGCTGGGTATTGGGGGTAGGGAAAAGTGCAATGCAATGCTTAAATATGGGAGTTTGAGACACGATTCTGCATTTGAGAAGAGTTTTGAGAAAGGCATAGTAATTCAGCAAGCGTTTTATAGAGGAAAAGTCACTTCATCGAATTTTTTACTCAAAAAAGCAAATTTAGTTTAATTTTTAATTTTTTTTTCTGGATTGGAAATAATTTTCTTGTAGCAGAGAAACAGAAAAATGTTGGGAAAATATTTGAAGGATTTTAAATGAAAAGGGCAATTTAGTTAAAAAAAAAATCAAAAATGGACTGAATTTTTTAAGGAGAACCTAAGTAGTCATAACTAAGAAATTAATCACTTAATTTTTTTTTTATAAAACTAAAATGAAAAGAAAATCGGAATTCAGCTAGTTTTTTTAGTGAGAATCTAGGGTTTCTTACAAAAAAGAAATTGAAGCTATAAAAAGGGTTGTCTGTAGACAAAAAAAAAATCAATTCGATTTTTTCAATTCGAAATAAATCACTTAATTTTTTTTTATAAAGCAAAAATGGAAAGAAAATCGGAATTCAGCTGAATTTTTTAGTGAGAATTTAGAGATTCTTACGAAAAAAATTCAAGCTATAAAAAGGGTTGTCTGTAGACAAACAAAATCAATTCGATTTTTTCGATTCGGAATTAATCAATTAAATTTTTTTATAAAGCAAAAATGGAAAGAAAATCGGAATTCAGCTGAATTTTTTTTAATGAGAATCTGGGGTTTCTTACGAAAAAATGTAAGCTATAAAAAGGGTTGTCTGTAGACAAAAAAAAAAAAAAAAAATAATTTAGGTTTTTTTCGATTCGAAATAAATCACTTAAATTTTTTTATAAAGCAAAAATGGAAAGAAAATCAGAATTCAGCTGAATTTTTTTAGTGAGAACCTAGTGTTTCTTGCGATAAAAAAAATTGGAGCTAAAAAAGGGTTGTCTATAGACAAAAAAAAAAAAAAAAATCAATTCGATTCGAAAATCGGAATTCAGCAGATTTTTTTTCAAAGATAATCTAGGGTTTCTAACGAAAAAAAATTGAAGCTATCAGTAGACAAAAAAATCAATTCGATTTGTTCGATTCGAAATTAATCACTTAAATTTTTTCATAAAGCTAAAATTGAAAGAAAATCGGAATTCAGCTGATTTTTTTTTTTTTTTTTTTTTTTTTTTTTGATTGAGACTCTAAGGTTTCTTATGAAAAAAAAAATTGATACTGCAAAAGGGTTGTCTATAGACAAAAAAAAAAATTAATTCGATTCGAAATTAATCACTTAAATTTTTTATAAAACAAAAATGGGAAGAAAATCGGAATTCGGCTGATTTTTTTTTTGTTTTTCTAGGGTTTTTTAAGGAAAAAATTTGAAGGTATAAAAAGGGTTGCCTGTAGACAAAAAAAATCCATTCGATTTTTTTTTGTGGCAAAAATCAATTCTGCTCGTTTTTTAAATAGAGAAACCCAATTTAGTCAGACAAAGAAGTCCTCAATTCAGCAAAGTTTTAGGCTAGGTTTTAGTAGAATAAAGAAGAAGAAAAAATATAATTTTGCTAAATTCCTACAACGAAGCCCTCAATTCAGCTAGGTGTTTACACTAATTCGGCAAGGTTTTTTTTTATAGCAAACAATTCAGCGAAAATTTTAAAATGAAACGCTCGATTAAGCTTAGTCTTGAAGAACTCGATTCAGCTAGGCTTTCACCAAGAACTATTTAATTTAAATAGGTCTTAAAGCCAAAAATTTAATTCAGCTAGGTTTTTCAAAATACTTTATACAGCTAGGTTTTTATAACAAAAAAAATCACCTAGGTTTTTAAAAGAAGGCTGGAAAAATCCAATTCAGTTAAGTGTCCATAAGTAGTCTTTTCAGCTAGTTTTTTTAAAGGAAACTCTGAGTCAACAAATTTCATTAACAGAAAATACCGTAGCTCTCAATATTTCCTATTGAACGTATTGAATCAGACAATTTGACAAATATTTCCGATACAATGCGAAAACATTTTTCTATAGAAAACATTTTTTTCTATAGAAAAATCAAAATTTACCTAATCTTTTATAAAAGAAAAATTCATTTTCGTGAAATTTTTCTATGGAAAAAATCCAATTTCGCAAAATTTTTCTATGGGAAAATCTAATTTCGCGAAAGTTTTCTATTGAAAAAATCCAATTACCCAAAATTGTTCAATAGAAAAATCGAATTTCGTGAAAATTTTCTATAGAAAAATCGAATTTTGTAAACTTTTTCTGTAGAAAAATCAAATTTCGTGAAAGTTTTCTATGGAAAAATCCTATTTCGTGAAATTTTTCTATAGAAGAACTAAATTCAGCTATTTTTTTCTATAGAAAAATCGACTTCAGCAAAATGTTTCTATAGAAAAATCCACTTCAGCTAAATTTTTCTATAGAAAAATCCAATTCAGCAAAATTTTTCTATAGAAAAAATCCACTTCAGCAAAATTTTTCTATAGAAAAATCCACTTCAGCAAAATGTTTCTATAGAAAAATCCAATTCAGCAAAATTTTTCTAAAGAAAAATCCACTTTGAGCTTTTTTTCTATAGAAAAATCCATTTCAGCAAAATTTTTCTATAGAAAAATCTATTTCAGCAAAATATTTCTATAGAAAAATACACTTCAGCTGAATTTTTTCCATGAAGAATCTACTTCAGCAAACTTTTTCTATAGAAACATCTACTTCAGTAAAATTTTCTATAGAAAAATCCACTTCAGTAAAATTTTTCTATGGAAAAATCCACTTCAGGATTTCTTTTTCTATAGAAAAATCCAGTTCAGGATTTCTTTTTCCATGAAGAATCCATTTCAACTAAATTTTTCCATGAAGAATCTACTTCAGCGAACTTTTTTCATGGAAGAATCTACTTCAGAAATTTTTTCTATAGAAAAATCCACTTCAGCTAAATTTTTCCATGGAAGAATCCAATTAAACAAATTTTTTTCTATAAAAGAATTCGATTTTTCTGCGATTATATTTATTGAAAAAACTTTTCTAGAATATTTGTTTTATAGAAACATTTCATTTTGGAATTTTTCTTACAGAATGACATTTTTCTATAGAAAAATTGAAATTGATTTTTTTTGTTAAAATTGTGGCTGATTATATTTTTTTATTAAACAGAGTGGCTGAATTCAAAAATGTATTGGAATTCAATTTTTTTATAGAAAAATGTGTTGGAATTCAAATACAATTTTTCTATAGAAAACTGCTTTGAAATGCAATTTTTCTATAGAAAACTGCTTCGAAATACAATGTTTCTATAGAAAAATGCTTCAAATACAATTCTATAAAAATTTGAAATTTTCTATGAAAATTTTGCAAATTTCTATAAAAATTTGAAATTTTCTATGAAAAATTTTGAAAATTTTGAAAATTTCTATAAAAATTTAAAATTTTCTATAAAAAATTGAAATTTTTCTATAAAAAATTTGAAATTTTCTATAAAAGTTTGAAATTTTCTATAAAAAATTTGAAATTTTTCTTTAAAAAAATTTGCAATTTTCTATAAAAGTTTGAAATTTTCTATAAAAAATTTCAAATTTTCTATAAAAGTTTGAAATTTTCTATAAAAAATTTCAAATTTTCTATAAAAAATTTGAAATTTTCTATAAAAATTCGATATTTTCTATAAAAAAATTTGAAATTTTCTAAAAAAAAATTTAAATTTTTTTTAAAAATTTCTATAAAAATTTGAAATTTTCTATAAAAAATTTGATATTTTCTATAAAAATTTTAAATTTTTTATAAAAAAAACTCTTAAATGAATTAATTTAACTGTCTTCGAAATTTCTAAGTTCTATAAAATTAGAAAAAATTATCTGAATTCACTATTCCATATAGAGATTTTCATAAATCGATTAGAAAAATTTTGCCGAATTTAACTTTTTCATACCCCCAATAATGCCATGGCATCGTCACTCATGTACATATGAACAACCTGTATGTATGTTTTCTTTGTTTGTTTGTATGTGTGTTTTTTTTTGGACAGCATATTTGTGGTCTCGTCCACCTTCAGTGGAGTCTGGCTGCATTTGTAAAATGCAGTAGGTCTTTTGCCGTAGGGGAGTGTAGCGGAGGGGACAACAACTTGATTATTTTTTCTTCGATTTAGGTTTTCATTTAAGTTAAGCAATATTTGTTTCATAGTGTAACTAGAATTATGTGTGTATGTATGTGTGTAGCCAGCCGTCTGTAGGTATGTAAGTGACTTGTTTCGTTGCAAACGTTATTTTTTTTTTTAAATACATTTATCTGAAATTGTAATTTTTTGTCTTAAAATGTAAATTATGTATTTTTTTTAATTTATTAAAGAATGTTTTTTTTTATTATTTTTATTATAATAGTCTTAAGCCATAATTATACTCAACGAATGAATGATTGGCCACCAGTTCTGTGGAACGCCAAGTGTTTGGATTTTTGTTTTGAAAATCTCCACAAGAAGTGGTGGCAGAAAATCAGAATTGCATTGAAATCTATTCAAAGCAAGTGAGTGAAAAAGAATGAATGAATAAAGAATGTAGGTACTTAATATTATTTGTATATATATGTGTGTGTGTGTGGAAACCACAACACCAACAACAATAAAAATAAATAACAAGAATTATTAAAAGACTGGATCTATGTTGAATGTATGTTTTATTTATTTTAACTTGGAATTTATTCAAAATATCGAGGTAGCTGGTGATCGGGGACCTGCTGCCAAGCTCTAGCAAACCTGTCTTTGGACGACAAAGGTAAGGTAAGGTAATCCACGTTATGGCTAAGTCTGGCTTACTGTCTTGCAGATTTGGCTGATGAAATTCATTGGTACACATATGCTGGGTCTTTCGGCTTGCTGCAAAACTGCATTCAGCCATTTAGATGGCTTTTAAGCGTAATCGCCATAAATGATCAGTGTTATGAGTGTCTGGAGGTACGGTATCGTTATTTTTTGAGAGCTCAATGGAACAGGATTAGTGAATGGATCGTTTTGTTTTGGATTCTTTTGAAAAAAATTGATGTTTTGACGCCGACATGGGCGTAGCCAAAAAATCAATACCGCAAAATTTTCAATAGAAAATTGAATTCAAGGAAATTTTTTCTATAGAGAAAGGCTAAACTAATATTTTTAAGATAAGTCATTTGAGCAAAGTTTCTCTATGATTAAATGAACTTTTCTATAGAAAATATCAAACGGAGGATTTTTTTTTATAAAAAAAAAAAATTAAAAAAATATTTTTTAAAAAATGTAAATTAAAAATAGAATCAATTTTTTATAGAAAATATCAAGTGGAGGATTTTTTTATAAAAAAAATTAAAAAATATTTTTTTAAAAAAATGAATACATTAAACTCTTTTCTATAGAAAAAAGACATTTCAGCGGACTTTTTATAAATCACAGACAAGACAGTGGATTTTTTTTTTATAAAAAATCAATTTAACTGTCTTTTTTCTATAGAAAAATAACAATTCGGCTGATTTTGTTTTCTCTAGAAATAGTCAATTCTGCGGGATTTTTCTACAGAAAAAATACAATTCATTGGACTTTTTTCTATAGAAAAAATGTCATTCAGAAGACTTTTTTCTAAAGGAAAAATGTCATTCAGAAGACTTTTTTCTAAAGGAAAAAGCTAATTCAGCGGATTTTTTGTTACAGAAAAAAAGTCAATTCAGCGGACTTTTTTTTTGTATAGAAAAAAGTCAATTCAGCGGACTTTTTTTTGTATAGAAAAAAAATAAATTCAGCGGATTTTTTTTTTTTGTATAGAAAAAAGTCAATTTAGCGGAATTTTTTCTATAGAAAAAAAGTCAAATTAGCGGAATTTTTTCTACGGAAAAAAAGCAAATTCAGCCGAATTCTTTCTACAGAAACAAAGCAAATTCAGCTGAATTTTTTCTATAGAAACAAAGCAAATTTAGCGGTTTTTTTTTTTCTATAGAAAAAAAGTCAATTCAGCGGACTTTTTTTCGATAGAAAAAAAGTCAATTCAGCGGACTTTTTTTCGATAGAAAAAAAGTCAATTCAGCGGACTTTTTTTTCGATAGAAAAAAAGTCAATTCGGCGGACTTTTTTTTCGACAGAAAAAAAGTCAATTCAGCGGAATTTTTTTCTATAGAAAAAAAAAAACAATTCAGCGGACTTTTTTTTAGATGGAAAAAAAAAAAAAAAAAACAATTCAGCGGAATTTTTTAGAAAATAAAATAGCAAAAAAAAAACAATTCAGCGGAATTTTTTTCTATAGAAAAAAAAGTCCGCTGAATTGACTTTTTTTTCTATAGAAAAAAATTCCGCTGAATTGTTTTTTTTTTGCTATTTTATTTTCTAAAAAATTCCGCTGAATTGACTTTTTTTTCTATAGAAAAAAAGTCAATTCAGCGGACTTTTTTTTCTATAGAAAAAAAGTCAATTCAGCGGACTTTTTTTTCGATAGAAAAAAAGTCAATTCAGCGGACTTTTTTTTTCGATAGAAAAAAAGTCAATTCAGCGTAATTTTTTTCTATAGAAAAAAAAAAACAATTCAGCGGAATTTTTTAGAAAATAAAATAGCAAAAAAAAAACAATTCAGCGGAATTTTTTTCTATAGAAAAAAAACAATTCAGCGGAATTTTTTTCTATAGAAAAAAGCAAATTCAGCGGAATTTTTTTCTATAGAAAAAAAGCAAATTCAGCGGAATTTTTTTCTATAGAAAAAAAGCAAATTCAGCGGAATTTTTTTCTATAGGAAAAAAAGTCAATTCAGCGGTTTTTTTTTTTTCTATAGAAAAAAAGTCAATTCAGCGGTTTTTTTTTTCTATAGAAAAAAAGTCAATTCAGCGGTTTTTTTTTCTATAGAAAAAAAAAATCAATTCAGCGGAATTTTTTTTCTATAGAAAAAAAGTCAATTCAGCGTTTTTTTTTTTCTATAGAAAAAAAGTCAATTCAGCGGTTTTTTTTTTCTATAGAAAAAAAGTCAATTCAGCGGTTTTTTTTTTTCTATAGAAAAAAAGTCAATTCAGCGGTTT